AAAAAAGCCGGAAGTGGCGCTGTGGCTCAAGTGGTAGAGCGCTAGCCTTGAGCTGAAGAGCTGAGGGACAGTGCCCAGGCCCAGAGTTCAGGCCCACACCAGACCCCCCCCAAAAAAAATAATTTTTCAAAATATTCAAATACTATTTCATTTTTTAGAGAAAATAATCAGCATAATAGCATCAAGAAAACTTTCTCCCAACTCCAAGGCAAAAAGAAATTAGAAGAAAATAAATGTACTAGTAAAGGAATACTCCCCAGGACTATCAAATCCAATGCAATGAATATTTAGATTTTTTATTTTTTATTTTTGTCAGCTGTGGGGCTTAAACTCAGGGCCTGGGCACAGTCTCTGAGTCTCTTTGTGCTCAAGGTTAATGTTCTATCACTTGAGCCACCGAGCTACCTCCAGTTTTCTGGCAGTTAATTGGAGAAGAGAGTCTCACGGACTTTCCTGCCTGGGCTGATCTCAACTCCTGAGTAGCTACTATTTCAGGCATGAACCACTGGCACGTGGTGCATTTAGATTTTTTTTTTTTAAAGACTGTATTGAAACTATCTCAGTTTGTACAATTTTTAAAGATATATTTTTCTCCTAACAAATTTTACTAAATAGAAACTCACAGAACTTATCCTACCAATGATATATTCCCTCTTAGGATTTTTTTATAATTAGCTAATGGACTTATACAGCTAAAATGCAAAACACGATAACTTTAGATTCCTATCATATTCTAGAAGCAGAAAGTGGTGACATATGCATAATTCTGTTAATATATTAAAAGAATCAATAACCCTAATTGAACTTGTAAACCTTAAAGGGTAAATTTTATGATACTTAAATGGTATGTCAATTAATCTTTTTTTTTTTACAATTTCCATAACTTATTTTTTTGTATTTCTGGGGATCAAACCTAGGGCCTAGTACATGCTAGGAAAGCACTCAACCACTAAGCTACAAGCCCAGCCTTTTCTTCCCCCTACTTCCCTTCTCCTCTTCTTCCCTCTTTCCCCTACCTACTTCGTTCTCTTCCCCCTTCTTCTCTGCCCTTTCCCCTTCCTTCCTAAAGCTGTTATTAAAAATCAAGTCCCCACTCTGTATCTATGTGAAACTCTGCTCTATACCACTGCCTGCCTGGCTAACTCTAACCAACAAGTCTCAATTCTGATGACAGGCCTCTCAACCACTCCCCACCTCTCCCTCCAAAGGTCCCCAACTTCCTGGATACAAGAAGAGGAAGCCCTTAGCATAGCAGCCTCAGGACAAATTAAAGAGTAGCTGTGCTGTCCTTTGGAGTTCATAAATCCTTAGTTATGACATGACTAAAAGTAAGACCCTGAAACACAAAATTCTGACATCTATTATTCATTTTTTTGTCTTTTTTTTTTCTTTTTGGTACTAGGGTTTGAACCCAGTACACTGCACTTGCTAGGCAAGCACTTTACCACTGGGCTACATCCCAGCCCTTCATTTTTTAATATATCAAAAAAAAAAGGAGAAAAATACTAATCTTCTAAATAAAAAGGACTTCCTGATTTTTATAATTCTAGTTGCAGGATACATAGCTGATACAGCTAAGTTATTTATCTTTAAAATGAAAATCACCTTGCCCAATGACAACGTGCAGCAAAAAGAACATCGGCTTACTAAGCAAGAGCACAGCAACCACGTCACTGAGACCTCATTAGGGCTAAACTATAAACAGACCTGGCATCTGCCAGTGTCCCCACTGCTGAGCTGGAGCTGCAGATCAGAAGAACCCTTCTTATAACTCAACCACAGAAGCCCAGAGTCTTCTCCTCCAGAGGTTCCCCGGCCTGGCTCATTACTGGGAAGAGGAAAATTAGTGCTAGCCAGGAAGGGGTCGGGGTGGGGGTGGGGGGAAAGACTTTGAAAGAGAGGAAGCCAAAGTAACCCATTCACAATACCAAACTCCACCTCAAGAAGAATAAACAGCTCAATTATCCAAGAACCCATGAAAGCTACATTCTTTCAGTCACTTTATGTCAAAGGGTGATGAAGAAACTGTCAAACATATGGCAGCAACTTTCCTTAAAACAGAAGTAATTTCTGTTTTGAGTCTGCTGTGGCTGATGTGACGAGGTAGAGATGTTAACCACCTATTGTAAGGGGGCTATCCTAAACTATCTTATCCTAAGGGATCAAGTATTAAACATACAAAAGACATGGGGAACAGTTTTCCATATCTTGAACATCCTCATTCCTTCATTTCCTGGAAAAATAAGCACAGCCAGGAGAGTATGCAGGCCTGAGTAGGCACCCTGTTACTGTCTCTTGGCCTCAGACATAAGGAGGACACCATCCTCTGAGTTTTAAGGATATGAACAAGGCACACCACTGGAAGTCAGGTAGTAGGTAGCTGGACAGATTTAGGTCAGAAAAAGAAAAAAAAAGACCCCATTATGCAGCAAACAACTAAGGAAGGACCATTCAGCCAGACTTTTGGGGGAGGGGAGTAGAAGAGATACTGTTTGTGTTTCTTGTGCTTCCCCTTAGATTTTATGTGAAGCCTTTTAAACGGATTAATACTTACTTGGCTGGAAATACAGCTCAAGTGGTAGAGCATTTGACTGACAAAGTCAGCAGCAGAATAAAACCAAAGTGAGGAAAGCCCAAAGAAGTGCCCAGACCCCAAAATTCGATAAATCCACTTGGTCACCTGCCTTTTTGTACTAATATTCTTCTTCCCAGTAATAAATGGTTAGACATTCTCCCCAAACAAGACAGGCCCAAACGTATGAGGAAGGGGAGTTGCACAGGCTTAGAGAACTAACTAGCCAGATTTACCATCACACATTCCTGAGTAGATTCCACCTCGGGAACCTAGCCCCAGGCGTTGACTCTTAGGACAGAAGGAAGCAAGGCAGTGAAAAGGATAGATGTACCAGCCCTCCCCTCCCCCGTATTCCACTTGTGTCTCCAGGCTCCCCTACTTTTCACTACACCAGGCACCTCACAATACCTATCCATTCCTTCCTTCCTAATCTTCGGAAAGTTTCCTCGTCACTGGAGTGCCCATCTGCCTCCAGCCGCTTCCAGCCTCCCACGTCGGTGCAGAACCAAAAGACTCCCACAAAGCAATGCACAGCCAGATGTGACAGAAGGGAAAGGGGCATCGGATGGCGGTCCAGAGGTTTGGACTTCCTTCCCTGCTCTGCCATGGTTGGCAGTGCGTGCTTATGTCACGTACCTCCACTTACCGGTTTGCAAAAACGAAGGGACGACTTACTTCGGAGCGGCTGGCAAGGCGATCTCGGGTCCTGGGCTAAAGCAGGAGCCCACACCCCTTCAAGGGAGGCGCTTTCCCCGGTTAGCCCCTCCAGGGTGGTCCAGGCTCGGGTGGCCCTGGCCTTGGGGCGTTCCCACGCCAGTTCAGGCCTGGCCAGAACAGGCAACTGCGACCCACCCCTACGGGCAGCGGGCGCGGCGCCCCCTGGCGGCCACATCCTCGAACGCAGCCGGCGCCGACCCCCCTCAGTCCAACCCTACCTGCCCACCTACGACGCAAGAATCCCACCTCCAGCCCGCCGGGCCGCAGCCCAAGGAGGGAGCGCAGTCTCCCGGCACGGAGGCCGGGCCTCGCTTCTCAATTCTCCCGCTTCTCCCTGAACTGCTTGTATCTCCCACCACACCCCGAAGAAACACAACGGGGTGACTCCCGTGACACGTGAAGGGCACAGCAAGGGAGAGACGGGCGCAGTCTCCTTACCTGTACCCCGACTCCAAGACAGAAGCACGGGCCACTCGAGCCCGCTCCGGAGCATCAGCACCGGAGCAAAACAAGCCTTTATAGCGGCATCGTCTGCCATACCGCGCATGCGCGCTGCGCAAAGGTTGCGCAAGACCGAAGGGAATCGTAGTTCTCCATGTAGCAGCCTCGGGCTCTGCTCGGCCGCCAAGGACTACATTTCCCAGAAGCCATGCGGGCGCCCGGAGGGGTGGGGGTGTGGGCCGATCTGCTTCCCACCGCGCTTTCCATTCTCCCCAGCTAGCCGGTCTGGAATGTTCTCTGTAGTCTAGGGGGTCCCAGTGGGCTACCTTGGAGGGCGACCTGGGGCTCTGTGCTAGCAGCCCTACACGTAGGGCTGGTCAGCCGTGCCCAACCGTTCACGTGGCAGAAAATCTAAAGGTCATCGTAGCATGCTTTTGCTGTAAGAGCTGCGGTGGGGTCGGGCCGCCCGCCCTGACCCTTATCGGCTGTGTTTGCGTGCCGGTGACCTCTCCCTGCAGTCGGCACCCATAGCTCCTATCGCGCTTTAATCCCGCATAATGTTATGCTTCCTCCTTCCTAGATAATAAAATGCCAGGATCACAGTTGTCAAAGTGGCAACAGCCTTAGAAATCGTATGCCAACTCATCTCTTTTTTTTATATATACGCGGAAATGAGGCTCCTGAAGATAGCGATCGTATTTTTCTTTCATCTCACCATTTCACATCACCATAAAGGCTAAAGGCCATTCTGTCGTAAAGTGACCCTCTATTCTTTGTCAGAGACTTTGCATGCCAGTTTTGTTTCTTTTAATGTTTCAACAGCTGTTTTGTGAGTGTTGAAATGCAAGGTGTGTTGTTTTTTTTCTTTTTTTTTTGGGGGGGGGGGACGGTAATACTTCCCAACCTTCAGACAAAGATCTACAGGATCTATACTACGATGCAGAATCACATGTATTTAGTATTTCTTTTGCAAAATGTACTAAAGGTAATTCATTCAGTATTTATTGGAGATACAATGGGCTGAGTCCCAAACATACCTCAAACAAAATTTAAATGATAACTATTTGAAGTATAGAAAAGGAAAGTATGTGCCCCAACTGAAAAAAATAGTGGGAGTTAGTGAAGTGAGGACTGCAGAGATGGACAGAGGAGAAGGTAATACAAGAAGAGGAACAATAAAATCCAACTAGTAAAAGGAAAAGAACATCACCCAAGACCTTGAAGACCATGTTACAGTTCTGTGGAGTAAAAGCAAAAGCAACCAACTGTTCAAAGGGTGACTCCAATATGCTTTGAGAAATCAGACTTTACACTATAAAAACTATACTGTGACTGGAAGACTGGAAAAAGAATTACAGCCAGAATGTGAGAGAAGGGTTCAGTTAAGAATGAATATTGTTGGGGCTGGGAAGGTGGCTCAGTGGTAGAGCGCCTGCCTTGCATGCATGAGGCCCTGGGTTCGATTCCTCAGCACCACATAAGCAGAAAAAAAAAAAGCCGGAAGTGGTGCTAGCCTTGAGCTGAAGAGCTGAGGGACAGTGCCCAGGCCCATAGTTCAGACCCCACGACCAGACCAAAAAAAAAAAAAATTTTAAAAATATTGTCATCCAGGAAAAAGATGATGTTTGTTTGGACTGGGACTGTGGTGGAAAGATGGAGACAAAGATGGGATTCTAGAGAAAGGTAAGAGATAAGATTAGCAGCATGTGTTAATGAATTCAAATGAGGGGTATAGATAGTAGCACTTAGGTGCCTGGATATACAACCATATGAATGGTTTACTGTACAACCTCTCAACATCTTATCAAGAGTAAATGGGGGGGGGCTGGGAATGTGGCTTAATGGTAGAGTGCTTGCCTAGCATGCATGAAGCCCTAGTTTGATTCCACAGTACCACATAAACAGAAAAGGCCAGAAGTGGCGCTGTGACTCATGATAAAATGCTAGCCTTGAGCAAAAGCAGTTCAGCAACAGTGCCGCACGCCCTTAGTTCAAGCTCCATGACTGGCACAAAAAAAAAAAAAAGATAAAAAGATTTAATATCAGAAACTGTAGCTGTGGCTCAAGTGGTAAAGTACTAGCCTTGAGCAAAAAAGCTAAAGGGAAAACACTCAGTCCCTGAGTATGAGCCCCACAGTCAGCACACAAACAATAAATTAATACAAAATAGGAATGACCACCCCACACATCCTTGGTACTTAACATTGTTTACTTCTAGCTGTAAAGACCAAAGTCCTCTTGAAGTTCAGTTGCTTTCAATAAAAAGCATTTTCAGGGAATTTCTAAACGATATAGTATAAAAGAATAATGCCCGTCTGTCAAGCAAATTCTGTCTGGTGTCAGCAAGAAGCGTTAGGATATCAACACTGTCAGATGAGACTCCAATGACATTAAAGCATGTTGTATAGCCAGAAGTGTCACCATATTTTCAACAGAGAAGCTGAGGTTTTGTACAGTGCACATTAGTATAGTCATAAGTCAGAGCACACATTCACATTATGAAGGAAAATATTACATGCAACAACTTCTCTTGCTCCTTTTTTTTTTAACTTTACTTCAAGGGTAGTAAGTATGAAATGAAGAACTCCTTTAAAAAATTGTGAAATCACTTTATATGAGGATGCAATATCAAATTGGCCAAAAACATATCAAACAGATGTTCAAATACTAGCTGCTTACTAGAAGGAAGAAGAAGAGGAGGAAAAGGAGGGGGAAGAGAAGGAGGAAGAGGAAAAGGAAGGAAGGAAGGGAGAGAGGGAGGGAGAGAGGGAGGGAGAGAGGGAGAAAGGAAGGAAGGAAGAAAGGAAGGAAGGAAGGAAGGAAGGAAGGAAGGAAGGAAGGAGAAAGAAGTTGGGAGCCAGTGGCTCACATTTTTGTAATCCTAGCTACTCAGGAAGCTGAGCTATGAGGATCCTCATCAAAGCCAGCCTGGACAGGATAGTCCTCTGTGAGACTTAACTCCATTTAATCACCAAAAAGCCAGAAATGGAGTTTGAGTGGTAAAGTGTTAGCCTTTAGCAAAAAAGCTCAGGGACAGTGCCCAGGCCCTGAGTTCAAGAATTGGGGCATGCACACACACACACACACACACACACACACACAAATTGACAATGACCTTGTTTCAACCAAAAAAAAATTGTTCGCCACAGTAAATTAGCATTACATTGATTGTATTGTCCTACTTCTAAATGATTTGTTCATTCATTTTAATTTCATAGTATGTGCACTATTAGCCTAAGTACCTTATAACATGGTTTTATAAATGTACATATGTAAATAATATTAAAATATAAGTATCTTAGCATCATGGGTTAGAACTAGGCATGGTGGTATATGTCTTTAATCCCAACTACTCGAGAAATGGAGGCAGAAAGATCTCAAAGTTAATGAGATCCTGTCTCAAAAGTAAAACACAGCAGGCCACCGGTGGCTCACACCTGTAATCTTAGCTACTCAAGAGGCTGAGATCTGAGTTCAAAAGCCAGCCCAAGCGGGAAAGTCCATGAGACTCTTATCTCCAATAAACTACCAGAAAACCGGAGTGGTGCTGTGGCTTAAGTGGTAAAGCACTAGCCTTGAGCTGAAGAGCTGAGGGACAGTGCCCAGACCCAGAATTCAAGCCCCATGACTGACCAAAAAAAAAAAAGAAAAGTAAATCACAAAACAAAATGGCTGGGGTGTGGCTTAAGTGGTAGAGTGTCCAGCATGAATGAGGCTTTGCAGTTAAGACAGGTATGAGAGAACCAATTTCCTTGGAAGAGGTCTAAATCTTATTCCAGTTTGGGAAACATTGTACAATAGAATAAGAGCAAACCTTAGCTTCACATGTGAGGCCTTCTCAGATCTGTTCTAACTTATACCATAGCCTCATCTTGTTACTGTTCGACACAAATTGGATGTCCCGACAACATTTTCATTTCCATGCTTTAATTCCACCTGTCTCTTATACCTGATAGAACCCAAATCCACTCAGTTAAAATAACAAGCACCATGGTCTAGAACTTGAAATTTTAATCCTTTCAGAATGACAATTTGGAATTACTATACAATATTTCTATAATCTCTCCTGGTGAGTTATATGTGAGAATTCTCCACAGGATTTTGAACTAGGGACCAGGCATCCATCAGGCTACAGTATAGAAGACAACAGGGCCCTACTAAGCCAAGAAAACCAAACCCCACAATCTGGTCTATATGGAACTTTCCAGAAAAACAGGTGAGTACAGACTTAGACTGATCACTCCTAGTCATTCCCCAAAATTTTCCAAAGGTTTTTCTCTATAAATATAAGATCTTGTTCAGAAGAGATTAACAGCTTTGCTCTACATTAACAATAATTATTTGTAGTTTTGGTGGTTTAGAGTTTGAACTCAGGGTCTCACACTTAGGCAGGAACCTCTAGCCCAACTTTTTTAAAAAAATATTATTTTTAAGTAGCTGACAAAGCAG